AATAGTTATTCGCATCGTTGCGACAACGAGAAATTCCACGACAACAGATGAATGGGGATTTGAAAATTGGCTGTAGCGCAACACGAGCGGCTAATCATAGAAATAACGTCGGTGATAAAGTGGACCCGCACGCGCACGAGCTATCGTGTTTAGCCTGGGATTATAGCTACATGAGGTTCAAGCCGCAAAATTGGCGGAGGAAAGAGGCCCGATCGCTCCTTCCGTTTCAGGTTCGTGAAGTTTCCTCTCTCCGAGGGTTGATAAAAATTTCAAGAATATCGCTCGCCTCGTCTCAAGTGCGCCAAGTAGCTCCCAAGCGCAGGGAGTGTACGGTATTTTTAGGATATATCTCGAATCAATATTTTTGCTCCACCGCCGACGTCTTAATCGGAAAGATAATAATAACTGAATCGGTTCCGTAAATCATAAGAGATGTTTTTGTTTAATCCAAGAGGCAAGTCGGCCATTCGGAATTTAAATGTTGCGCGACGGTAACACCCGAGCGATTCTTTGGCGCGAGAAATTGCGACGCATTTATTGTGTCTGAGCATTGAACTAAATTAGTATAACGTGGTATTAAAATGTATAAATATTAAGGCGCATCTTAAAACTAAGCTGCATGATATTTCTATAAAAATTTCTATTAATTATTTATGAACCCTCACTTGCGATAACGTCAAAGTGTATCTTAATCTACTTCCTTTGAATAAAAGTTGAAAAATTATTCCAATGTTACGGCGGGAGTATTACTCCCCGCTGGAGCGCCGTTCGGAATAGTATACTTATAGGAACAATCCTCTCTTGACTTTTATGAAAGAAGAAAAGCTTTCTTAATCTTCCCTCTCTTTAAATCCTCCGTTCGTTATCTATACAAAGTGCGGACGTCGTCTGCAGATTACTTTTAATTGCAAATTACATTGCGATAGGTATTTATATGTGAGCGCGTGAGACGATCGTAAAATAACGGCAAATATAATCCTGAAGTTCGAGCACGATTTAAAATATTAGCGCGGTGACGCGGGACCAATGTAACTCAATTAATAGGTGCTTCTCCAATTTCTATCATTTCTAATTTCCTACCTCGCTAACGCACTCCGCAGCTAATTGGCGCGTTACGTAATACTTATTTCGCGGTCGAAACGGTCGCTTCAAAGCCGGCTATAATTTTCAAAGCGAGTGCCGCCTCTCGACGTATGTCGAAGTTCTTTCCGGTGCCATTCCGCGACATTATCAGCGAGGCATGAAATTAGAAAGCGCTCCGGCTCTTCGTCCTATCGCGTTTTGCCCGCGAAGGAAATTTTCGAAATATCGCGACCGCGATGCACACTGGAACGTATGTGCTTAAGCAGCTCCCGTCTCTCCTCTCTGTCTTTCTCACGCGGAGCGATCCGATCGCCCGTGTTGCGTCGAATTTTGTTAGCGTCTGCCGTTGATACAGGGGATCAATCAGCCGGAATCCGTCCGATGGTTTAATCAGCAGGAAGTGCAATCTGTCATTCCATTCGAGATTTGTCACGGCAAATGCGCTCAAACGGACATCGACTTATCTCTTCTATCCTCTTATCTATATTTACTCTCTTTTCCACTCCCCGATATCTCTCGCGTTTTTCCTTCATCCGCGCCACGTTTTGTCTCGCGTTTCCCTTTCTCCTCTCTGTCGTAATTTCTGATCCGATTGTGCTTCTGCTTCTCACTTGGTTCAATCCCCACTGTCGCCGCCGTCGTCCTCCTCCGGCGCGAGTACGCCGTTATTTCTCCTGAAGATGATACGATTCAGCGGGAGAAGAAAGTCAACAGGGAGAACATTGCGTTTCATTCGCTGCCGTAATTAAAAGTCTTTCCCTTGTATACCGGCATCTCTATGCAACGAGAGACGACGTGACATTCCAATGTATTTTTAACAGCATACATTTTTCATCTTAATTACAGCAAACTTTTCTGAATAATGTAAAATGGAAAATGTTACACATTAGACTTGTCCCAATGAAAGTTTAATTAATCATAAATTATCCTGCACGTTATTAATTCCTACGGATCGTTTCTTATCAAAAACTTTTTACAGGTATTGATAAACTTTAATTAACGCCGAGTTCCATTTTTAAACGGTAAAATGTTTAGGAATTGCACAATGTCGTCCCTCGAAGCACTTGCTGCCTTAAAACTTTGAGGCGCGGTAATTTAATTCATTAACATTATAATCGTTATTTCTTTCGACATCGTTCCTTTCTTTGCAAGCGAAATTATGCTATCTCCTTATCCGTAGGGCATAATAAGAGTCGCCTTTTCATTCTGACTTTGTAGCTGCCTTCCCTCAGCAATGGCATTTTTCATCCGCGCTTCCTCTTCGCGAATTTCGCCAAGTAGCGAAGTCTCAATAGCGATAATTGCCTGCGCGAATGTGCGCAGAGGAAATTCTTCTCTGAATCAACATAGACGCCGTCGAAGTTTAAAGAGGCACTCCGGCTTTGCGGTCCACGTTAATCCACTACCTTTTGCGTTTCACGTCTGTCGCTTTTTCTTGCCACCACAGCGGCCGCGGACCAACTCTTTTTGTCCGTTCGGAACGAGATTCAGTTGGGAATTGCGTCATCCGTCCCTGGAAAATCCACCCTGGATCAGTTCGTCCGTCAAAGGAAGATCTTCTGTAAAGTTCCAATTACGGCGAACAACGTGCAGAAGTTGCGGCGGATCCATGCCGCAGGCAACAAAACTCCGGCAAATTGTGGTTATTAGCCGCGAAAAGAACGCCGGGGTCCAATGCAACTTCAGACGTTAAATTCTGTTACTGTGAACACTTGCGTGTATACATGTAAGAAAATACGAGACGCTTGAAGTCTGTGTGACTACATCCTATATAAAAAGAGGCGCGTTAAGTCGATAGTCGAAAGTCTCGAAGTATTGTTGTCGTGTTTCCGAGATGCTGATTGGCTGTCTTGCTTCTGCGATACGATACATGCTCCAGTCGTGTTATTTGCAGCTGTCAAACCATGCGAATTTTTAGACAGAGCAAATAGCGCTTGTGTGTGTCTAGTTGATTTAAAAACGAAACCGCAATTTCTAATTTCTTTTAAATTCCGCATAAAACAGACATTTAAATTTTGTTTTCGTCGCTTTGTTGCAACGAGAGTCCCATAGTTCGATTGTTTCAAAATAATATATTTATATAATTCCATAAAAGTGAACGCAGCTCGGTATCTTATTTTTATAAAGAAGTTAAATATAACAAAATACGGATATTAAAAGTTATGTTATATAATTTTTATATATGTATATTATAGGCACGTTTTATATAATCGCGGAAGTGATTTTTTTCTTTCGCACTTTTAACATTTGAACTACGACATTTGAGCATACGTGGCATGATGCGACGTAAACAAGTCCAATCTTTATCAGCGAAATAACGCACGAGCGGCGAGACCGACAAAACGGGAGAGTTCAAGGTCTAATTATAGATATCACCATATAAATGATCTAAACGGATACTTTTACGGAATGTCGTATTGTAGTATTCACAGTCAATCGAAAATTGTGCAGCAATAAGAACGTATTCAAGTGTAGCGTGCTTAATCGATGAAAGGTATTTTATTGCTTAGGTCTGTTATATAATACAATACATTGTACGTAGCTGTCGGATGTCAGGACGTCAGGTCGGATGTCAGGACGTAGCCGACGGTCCAGTGAGAAAATTTCTTTTCAAAAACAAAATTTTCTCATTGGACCACCGGACACGTCCCGACATTCGACAGCGATATAATATTGTATAACAATATAACAGGCATTAATAATTGTTAGTACTAAGATTTAACATTTAATATTTTATTGATACTTTTATTATTATTATTAAAAGATTATTAAAAGACAGAACGTATTGCCTTGCTCGGAAACGTTAATATTTGCTTGTAGCCGAGAGCAGTGGAAAAATGTAATTTTCGTTCAGTGGAAACAATGTCGATAATTATTTACAGCGGAAAAAGAAATTTTTGAAGAAATAATCCCGAATGATTGAGTTTACGTTTGGCCAATAGAACGGAGTATGGATTTTTGCTAGTTTGTTTTTCATGGAAAAGTACCTGCTTGCTTCGCTCGTAGCATCGACTCGACTAACGCTATGTATCCCAAGGGAATTTCGTGTAATGGAGAACGAGAGAACATAAACATCGCTTACCGGGTATAACTCAAGAAAGATATTATTAGATATCGAAATTTCAGATAAATCCTGCCTTTTGATAAATAACAGAAAGAGCTGCAATACACAGCGGAGGAATGTTCGAGAAATTATATCAGAAATAATGATAAGAGGTTTTCACGTAACTTCCTTCTGCATCTTTTCTTAATTTAAAATCATTTTAGTCACCTTTTCCTATATGATTTTCGAGAAATCATTTAAGTTTCTTGACAACATGTCTGACAAGTTGTATGACTGAAGACGTAAATTCCCATAAAAATAGTTTAGGCATCAAAACGAAAAAAAAATTAATTAATATTAGATCGTTGCCGTGCGGCTTAACGATATAAATTTGTTGTGTGCTGCGAACAATCCGCGCTCGATAAGAATAAGTTAAGTTACGCAGCTAATCACCGCGAGCGAATTAATTGACTTGCTAACTAATCGATATGTGCGCAAACGTCCTCTCGTGTAACGGGCGAGAGGGAAAGCATCGAGATAGCGGCTTTGAGCCGCTATCAAGTACCGCGTCCGTGGGGACTTCTATATTGGTCTCTCATCACCGTCCGAGCGAGAGTTGAATGCCTTATTCATAAATATCGATTCCGTATGCAAGCGTATTATATCCATCGCTAGAGTATGCAGAATAAATACTCGTTTCACGAGGAGCGGTCTGCAAATGGAGAAGAACTGAAAGGGGAGAGGACAAACATCGCCCCGACGCGTACGCAGCAAGAAAGAGAAGAATAAAGTAGGGCAACGGGAGGGGAGACAAAAGTGATATGATTACATGCCAAAAGTCCAATTATCAGAGATCGATGAAATTGAAAGAAACTATATTGAGATATGCTTGAGGGCTTTTTGCTCTTCCTAATATATTATAGCGGCAACTTAAACGCTCTTCTCTTTCCAGACCATTCCCTTCTCTCTTAATCACACGATTTTATTTATGTCGGTAGGAAAATGGTGGATTACGTTTTTCCAACAAGTACGCGAATAACGTTGATGGGCAAACGGAAAAATACGTGGGTATTTATTCCGCGTCGCTCTCACAACTCCCCGGTGGCTGAAACTTTTTTAATGGATGGGAATCGATTGCAAATCTTCGGAGAATATCTTTAAAATGAAATGAGAGAGAGAGAGAGAGAGAGAGAGACTCTACAAGAGCAAAAGAACACACAGGTTTTCTATTAAATATAGATGTAATTCCCAACTAAGTTACTTACAATTAGTTTGGAAGTGCGCGTGTAAATTTGTAAATCCCAAGAGTCAGTATAAATTCACGTTCAACTAGATCACTGCTGATAAACTACTTTATTCCGACGATATAACAAATTGATTCGTCCATACGGTTGAACTAAGGAGAAAATCTACGGCAAGCGCAAGTGAAACTGAGGAAAAAAAACAGTACTTTTTACGCGCGTTCTGCAGAGGTCGGACTTGGCGGTCTCGCCGAAGTGGTTTCTTACCACTAGACGACGACGACGTCGCTCTCTCGACGAGAGCTCTTCCTCAAACGACATGTGAGGTTTTTTTTTCCTCAACTCGCCCGTACGCGTCACCTTTGTCACCGATCACTCACGATCGGCGCCGACCGTGCCGCGATGAATCAAACGAATTGGCGGCGCCGAGGCGTCATGCCAGGTCGATTTCCATTTGTGCGCGCCAACGTCCCGGCACACCTCCGTTTATCGCGCGATTTCGAGTCTACGAGAAAGTTAGCGAAACGATCGCCGATCTCCGGGGCTAACTAGCGACCTAAGAATACCTGTCGCGCTGAGAACATGATTGCACTAGCGGAGCAGAGCCGCTCAACCTTTAGAAAATTGCCGCTTCTTAAAATAAAGCTTTCTTAGACCTTAAAGATAAAACGCGAACTATAATAACTAGAATTTCTCCATGCCTCATTGTAACTTATATGGGGCGCAAGGATATAAAGATGATGGCTCATATGGGTGAAAGGAAAGCAAGTGCTCTTAGAAGAAGGCGGAGGAAAAAGCTTTCGCCTTGAAGCATGACGCGGATGACATTTTTTTTCTTCTACAAAATTGTTCGAATCAATCTAACTGCGACGTTATATCTCGCGCCTCCTATTTTTGGATACCTGGCGCTACTCTCGATCACCCTTAAGGCCGATCAGCCTCATCGATATCTTCGATATTTCTGGGATGCACGGGATGCGGCTGTTTGTTAAGGTACTGTTTACAATGGCGGTGAAGAAAAACAACAGAAAGGGGTGGCCTTAATCAAGAGCACGGGTTTCTCTTTAGAAAGGGGCAGCGGGGTATTCTTAGAACGCTGAGAGGTGGTTGTCTCTCGGTGATCGAGTCCTTGCCGGGGATTATTGATGCGGCGGTTACAATGAGAACTGGCCTCTAACTACCTGTAACTCTCCCCGTAATGGATAGCCTCTGGGAAAGAAGCCTCTCCTCGAAGCGCCTCGGCTACGCGTAGATGGCGAGGGGAAACGTAACAATGCGTCGACTGGAGAACGTATTTCACGAGTAAATCGGAAGTCGCCAAAGGTGGAGAGTAATTAACGCGAATTGTTTGACGAAGAACCACCGATATCAGCTTTAATAGAGTGTGCACGTGAAACGCGCTTTTGTTAATTCCTACCAGTCCTAAATTAAATCCCACGATATTCATGTATATTTAATAAATATGTATGCGCGCGTGTATAATTTGCGTATTAATATTTAATTAAACTATATCGGTGCATCAAATATGCATCATACAAGGTATTATAGTATCTTTATGCATTATGCGGGCTGTATCCTTAAAATTCAGCGCTGTTCGTCGACTATTCGGCCGACTAGAGCAATTTTTGGAAATGCGTAAGTTCGGTTTTGCCAGGTATCAGAAGTAGTAAAGATAGCAGTTCGCGAATGACAATTATGTGATTACTGCGCCGATCGTCAGTAGCGCGGCTGAATGCCGCGCGTTTACGTACCTAAAATGAGGTAATACTTCTCTACAACATCAGAGTACGAGAGCCCTTCGGTGGAGCGCATCGCGGTCTCGATTCACGTTCTAAAAAGGGAGCAGCGCAAATCGAACATTGGAAACGATTGTACGTGCGCATAAAGCCAAGCATCTGTGAGCTCTTCCCATGCTCTTCCGTCCCTCCCGTCACTCGCCGCCTCTGTGTACTTTGCGAGTAGTCCCTAATTGCAGAGCGCGTTGCTCGACGACGGACGATCGATGAATTCGGTCCGGTTCCTATCCTGGCGCTTCGCCTGAAAAATGAATCCGCCCTAGACAATGTACTCCGCGTGGCGCGTGATATAATTGGGCCGGGATGTATGATTAATCGATCGGCAGGTTAGTCGTCGACGAATCGGAGACAGGCTCGCCGCTCGCTCGTTAATTACCGTGGCGCCTTGATGGATCGCTCGCGCGAAGATACCGACGCGGTTAAAGTGTCCTTCGCGTAAGGATTAGTGCCGTTGTTTGTAGCGCACAATTCTTAGCTCTCTATAACGCCGGATGATCATTCACGTGGCTTAACGTACGTAGTCTGCAGTAGTGGTTGCATCGCATTGCGGAAGCTTCGTCTAAACGGTATACAAAACGCAGCCGCATTGCGATCTGACGTACACTGTCCTCGGGACGATATTAAGCTACACGCAAATGTGATATCTTAGGATTACCGAGGACCGAAGCTGAGGATTCCTTTGCAGATTATGTCTCTGAATGGCAAAATTAATGTAATAGATTAAATCCGCATTCTTTTATTCTTTTAGCACGGTTACGCGGATGCAGGAGTTTTCCCGACTCGTGAAAAACGCGAGTGCCGAGGGATAATTGCTTCCGCCGTCACTCGGTGCTAACAATAATATTGTCTTCTCGAGAGTTGTGTTCCGCGCGCGGAGAGATCATTCATTTTATTTACCTCGTACTTCAAAATAAACCTACAAGTGAGTGCACAAACGCAGTTTGCCTTTATTTTCTATTTTAATTCCGTTTCATTTTTATCTCATTTCGCACTTTGTTATTAAGCAGATATCGTGCCACGAATTACAATTCTGCAGTTGGAGGTTTTCTTTGAATTTAATATGTGTACATCTTTTTGCTTTCTTTCATTTTGTTCGTTTAGTAAATGTGCAAATTCATTTTTCCATCATATAAATTTATGAAAAACGTTTGGCGCGCAAAATTTAAAAAATATAAAAATATGTAGATAGTTACAATATACAGGGTGTCCTGAAATTCGCGAATCAAAATACCATAGCAAGAAAGTCGTCGAAAAAATAAATTAAAAAGTTATTTGCCATTTTTCGTTCCGAGCAGTAGTTTTTTTAGATAAAAAGGTTCAAAATAGGCTAATCATGGCATACATTACTGTTGAACGGAAAATGGCAAATAACTTTTTAATTTATTTTTTCGACGAATTTCTTGCTATGGTATTTTGATTCGCGAATTTCAGGACACCCTGTATATTTTCCGTCAGAGTAGGATTTTAATTAATTTATTATAATCATCTGTCAGGCTAATACTAATATTTGCAAGAGAAACCTTTAGTTTCAATCCTTTGCGATTGACACTCCGAGAGTATCGTTAAGCGAAGAGCCAATAGGACATGAGAAACGTAAGTACACGCACACATGTACACATATGATGTGATGAGCTTAACATTGGTGCGCGTACACGTAGAAATTTTACGCTGACATATCACCAGAACAGGCGAGATGCGAGGAAGCGAAACGCAGAGGGAAAAAAGGGACAGGTGAGCGTCCCTAACGACACTTTCATACTCGAGTCAGCTTCTCTGCCCCGCGATTCCACCGATAAAACTTTCCTCATGAATATTTTATAAGTCGATCCAAGTGATACAACCCTCGGCCAACGATGCATCATCGTGGACGCTTTTCCACGGATTCTCTTGATCGCGAACGGCTCGATCCCTTCCCTATCTCTGACTCGCCTCGCCTCGTCCACGGCGGAACGAAGACGCGTGCGGACTTGGACAACCCTTCATGTAAGCCCTCAAGTTATATTAAGCTACATTAGATTAGGGTTTAAACATCAAGGGTGCTTAGACCTGATTATGAGCGCGTATTCAAGGGATACGCGCGCGATAGTATAAGCGGTCGCAAGGGAAAGCGGAGGCCTTGATATTGACTGTACTACTGAGACCGTCCCACTTCTTCTTTAATGTGGAATGAAAAGGTCTCTCCACATGTATATTTACACCCTTTTAACTTTTCACTTGCTGACTATTAAAGGCAGGTCTGTTTTTTAAACACATTTACATAATCAATTCATGAATACGGTCTTATGGCTTTCCTGATTCAACATGTATCCACGTCAAATATTCTATGAGATCCATTGGACATTGTGCCAATGTAAATTTGTTACTTTTTCATTTGATTATAAAATAAATGGAAACACGTAGGTGCAAAACTGGACGATAGTCGTTTAATAAAAAGAGAAAAATCGTATCCTTCCTTCAGTCTGAGAAAACTCGAAGAGACGCGCGTTTTCATTGAATCGGACCGCGGCACGTCGATAATGCAGCACGTTTTTCCATTTTTCATCCCGAATTCTCACTCCAGAATTTTCGATGGCGTCGATCGCGTCACGGCGCGTCAACCCTTTCGGTTTCCACCTGGTCGCGTTTCTCTTATGGTAGCGTTACAGTAGTCGCCACGGGCTTTTTCACGTCGCTGCGCAACTTCTCGCGGAGTACCGAATCGAACTTCCGCATCGTTTCGATCGTTTTCGCGCACGTCTCGCGACTCCATCGCGATTCCGAAGCTTCGTGACACGTAGAGTCTGCTTTGGTGTGCACGAGTACTCGCTCTCTATTTAGTTCCCGTAAGGTGTACCCCGTCCCTTTATCTCTCAAACTTTTTACGCTTTGTGTGCAATCCGGATCTTAGCGGCGAACGGCGAGCTGTATCTTCCGGATAGACACTGTCTTCCTTTGTTCGATCCGCGGTTCACGTCGTCGACTCCCTTCGCGCTCGTTTCCCGTCTTTGTTTGATCGTGACGCGTTTTTCCAACAAAACCCCCGTCTTTCGCCGCTTCTGTCTCTCTCTCTCTCCCTTCCTCCCTCCCTCCCTCTCTCTCTCTCTCTCTCCCCCTCTCTCTCTCTCTTTCTCTCTGACTCCCTTTCGCTCACGCTTCGTCTCGTGCGCGCTACGCCCCGCGCCTCTTGTCTCGCAGAAGAGTCCACGCTTCATCTCGCTTCAGACAGCGCCCGCTCCTATCGTCTTCCTCTGTCAACTGCCCTTGTTTTATCAACGCTCCCCGCTGTCGCCTCGTCTTCGTCCCGCTTCAGCACGCACTTTTTCGCCTTTCCTCTTTCATCCGATTCACCCCCGTCCCGTCCACTTTCTCGACCTTTCGTCATCTCGCTTCATCCATCGCGCGTCCGTTTCTGCTTCACGGACCTTCTCTGCCATTGTCTTTCTCCGTCTCAAACCCCTGAGCGTCTCCCTCCAACGTCACTCTTTGCGCCGTGCCTTCTTTCTCCAACCCACGTTCTCTCCCTCTATCCATCATCCTCTCCATCGCCCTGCCTCTCTCTCTCTCTCTCTCTCTCTCCCTCTCTCTCGCTCTTCCCCTTTCTCTCTCTGGCTGTCTCCCACCAACTCATGTACACCCTTCGCCGTCGTCAAGCGCCGGTTCCGTGCGGATTGGTCCTGCGCGCTAGGGGATGCTGCGAGATAATCGTGTCCCCTCACCCCTCGCGTAACCAACCCCCGCGAGTCACCCCACGTCGAGGGAAGCAGCAGTGAGAGCCAGGCCGCCGCCATAGCCGCTCCCCGGGCAACGAAGGAGGAGAAACCGGCGAATCACTCTCTCTTCTTCTCTCCCTCCTCTGTCTCTCCCCCGTTTCTCGTACTCTCCGTCTCTGTCCGACGTTCCCGGGTGTCCGCGTTGCGGCGCGCGTTTCGCGGCGGCGACGTTTTAACCCATATTCCAGTCTGGAGTTTCCACCAGCGTGACACGTCGCCTCGCACGCGCGCGAAGCGACGACCGGGCGACCGACCGGACGAGAGCACCCGGCAGCGAGGGTGACGTGTGTGCTCGGATCTGGACACGCGAGTCGCCTTCGCGGTCAGCGTGTACATTCGACGGGAGCGCGTAGGGACCGCGCCGCTGACGAGGCATCGTCGGCGACGACGACGACGTCGACGGCGACGGCGACGATGGCCACCGGGCGAGCGTAGAGCAACGTGGTGAACGTGGGGAGCGCGTGTCGGCGCGTCTCAAATCTCTCCTCGACCATTTCGGCGACGGCGATGACACTTCGACCACGACTACGGTGGCGATAGAGGCTTCGTGCGCGTGTCACTCGTGTCGACGTGGGTAACCGCCGTTCACCGTCGGGCGGGCATTCCAGGCGCGAGGCTGGTCGACGCGGTGCTAGTCGGAAAGGACAGTTCGGAGCGTTTTAACGATCGGCGGATCTCTCGATCTCGCGATGAAGTCCCGGTCAAGTTGTTGAACCGATCGCGGAGCACCGGCGTCCTCCGGCGATCGGCATTCGCGCGTACGAATGTTGTTGCCGGCGTTTGTAGATTGACGTCGCGGGCAACGCGCACTCGGGCAGAGGAGTACAAGTGACGTCGGCGGCGACGACGGTACGCGAGTAAGATGCCAAGCGTAGCGAGGTCTACGCGGCGAGGAGAAGTCCGCGGTGTCGAGGGGTAGCGTCGAGCCGTGAACTTGGGGGAGATGCTTAAAAATTTTGTGCGCCATGTCAGTGTGAGTGTTCGCTGGTGGGTCACGAACGCCAGTCGTGGAAACGTGGTTCGTGCGGACGGAGCACCATGGGTGTTCGACCCGTATATGTCGACGGCGGTGCGGTCATCGAGCGATTGTGTCGCCGACACCATAATGGATGATTGAAAGCCACTGTTTCACGCCAGGCGTGTGCGAGCCGCGCGGAGCGACGAGCGTAGATGCAACGTGCGACTGCTGAATCTCGAGGGACGGGACGATGACGTAGACGCAGATGTCAGGCGTGGATGGTTAGATTTCGACGAGCACTCCGCGGATGGGATACCGAGCGCTCGAACCAACGTCACACCGTTAGATGTACACTATTATTCTCACGTTTATTCGCGGCCGCGGTTAATTTTCAAGAGAAGGCACTTTCGCGCGAATGAGCGAAAATTCGCGGAACAAGGGAGAAAGCGGGAGGTCTCGAGGATACTCAGGATGAATGGAATCGTGGGGGTTAGTGCTCGGTGAAAGAGAGAGCCCGGAAAATTGTGCCGGGAGCCGCGATCGCCCCGGGCCGTCAAGAGTGCGCCGCACAATAAAACTACGCGTCTTGCGTGGCATCCCAGAAAGAGGTCCGCCGGTCGGAAGAAGGCACACCGCAGTCAATAACGTGCCGTCGAGTGTCTACAGACGAAGTACGCGCGACATTCGCCGGAGAATTTAATTAAGCGAGCCAAACATCCGGAATACCTACGAGCCGAGAGCGCGTAGGTTCAAAATATCTCACCAGTGGTGAAGTCGATTGCGCGATCGGACGTCATCGCGCGCGCCGCGTCGTAGCGCGAACCGAGAAACGATTTAACTCGAGCCCCGAAACAACGAGCGTGAACGTTGGCGCACTGGATCCATAGGGCCGGAAACCATCCGGCTCGCGGGGCAACGGGACGCGCGATTTTTGGATCCCCGATCGTCACGTTTTTCGGTTCGGCACTCGAGAACGTAACGTTAAGCGCGGGGCTTCGGATTACGCGGGGGTGTGAAGAGAGTAATAATA